AGTCTGGTACCAATTCACCGACCCCGGAGGGATGGAAGGCTTGGTTGGCCTAGGCGGGCATCGATACGGGATTCGAACCCCTGACCGTGCGTGTGATATAGTGCGCCACTTGCCACTACACCACCTCCGCCTCAGTATTGCTGCCTATACCTCGTGGAATCATTGACATTGTATTTGCCATGTAACGTCTCATTTTACTGCACAGAAAATCTGGTTTACTTCCTATGGTTCTGATAGGCTCTTTTGTAATTTTCTGTTTTCTAGAATCAACAAAATTTCTAATTACCTTACTGGAATTGTGAATTCGGTCGCTTATGCATTGTTACTTATTGTGCTCGTTAGAAGGAAATTGCTATCTTTTCCCCGAAATCATGAACTCAAAGTCACAATACAGGTACGTGAATAGAAAGTAAAAAATTCCGTCCTTCTCTACTCAAGTATGTATTTACACATCTATAAACTACACTAGTGTCATTATACATACAGTGAATCGTAATCTGAAAACGGATCTAAGGAATTCAAGCTATAAATATGGCGGTCAAGGTGATAAGCAGAAATGTGTAGAACTTTTGCGCACTGCCATGGATACGAACGGTAGAAATTTGGCTAATTATGTCTCAAAGCTGAAAAAAAAGCAAAAATATTACTACACGGGTAGTGCAGTTGAATAATAACCAATGAAAACCAAACCAATAAGATTCCATAGAAAAATTCACCTTCGAAAAAAGAAACCAATTTTAAAAAGGTGTAAAGCTAAACGAATGCGTTTGAAAGAAACAAACAATTAATAGAGGTCCAACAGCATTAAAGGCACAGTTCATGTTAAAATGTTTTCCGAGATTTCTCCCTAGGATGAACCGGTGACCCCCCGAGGATACCCTAACGGGCGCAGTTGGGCCGAAAAACGGGGAAGATAGGGCGTAATAAGGGCCACCAAAATCGATTTAGCTGACGTACACACCCAGGATGGACGAGTTGCTTTAAATTAAAGTAAAGTTAAGTAGTTAGCTGTAAAAGCGTAAATTTGGAAAGCTATAGATATTGCACAATTCACAACGGGACCCACACCTTGCACACAGGCAGCGTATTGCAGTCAGCCGTATGCAGTGGCGCGGTGAACAGCCGGGGGACGGTCAAGTCGTGCGTCCGAGGGCGCGCGCGACAAATAGCGCGGCGAAGTTCATATCTATTCTAGCTGCTTTAGCGCCTATTATTTCGGCCCAATTTTGAAGTACAGTAGAACGGTAGGATCAGCTGACCTTACTGATCTATCCTTTTTGAGATTTGGGCCCTAACGATAAATGCTGCAGCATCTAAATTTGCCACGAACTTCGTCGCGCAATTTGCCGCGCGCACCCTCGGACGCACGACTTGACACACACCCCCCTAAATACGCCGATTTTCGCGTTTTATTCACCCCTTTTGCACTATTCTAGACTATCACGATCTGGTACGTACATATACATATATCAAAAGCAATGGCTTACAGCTTTAGGTATCATTTATGATGGTTGAAGAAGTGGGATTCTTTATTTACTGGGAATTTTTCCCATTGCAAGGATATGGTGTGGGAATGGATATTGTGATAGCTGAAACTACTCTGATGTTGTTTCTCGATGTACTTATTCTTCCATACTTGATTCTCAACAGGTTTGTTGCCTGCTTTCTGTTGTTAGTTGAAGACAGCATTTTGTTTGTTGTTTATTTGTTTTTATTTGTTAGAAAACAGTTCATATTTTAGGAACATTCATGAGGAACTCAAACACTTATATGTTCGACACATTAGAAATAGTTGGCCGACGATCCGCTTGCGGGAACTATCAATCCGCAGTTTAAGGATAAATTCAGTTTAGAATGTGCTTGTTGTTTATGACTTCAAAATCAAAAATAAACATTTTCGCAATTTTTCTGAAGTGGTGAACGAAAACGAGATGTGTACTTTAAGACATCTTTAAAATACCAAAAAAGAGCACCATCCTCTCAAACTTTTTCATACCCAATGAAAGGTGCCCAAATGGCTCAAGGAAATCGAACGACGCGTTCCAGAGTATGATTCATTGGCTCAGAACATTCCATCCTTTACTGCTAATTTTTCAGCAGTCACAATCTAAAATTACCACATTGACACCTGGGCGGACGTGCTTCCTGGCAATGAGTCTTCGGAGAGCTTTCAAAACTACTTTTTCCCGAATTTTCTCGAATGCCACATAGAGAAACAAACGTTCCATGATCGGGAATGTTCTTGAAACCCTTCTCTACACCCTTCTCACCTAAAATATATATCTAATTGTCAGACTTGGGCTCAGCATTTCTTCAGAATGTAAAGTTCTCAGAGGCTTGGTTTAACAGATAGCCCCCTTCAAAATGGGCCCATNCGGCATAAATCTCTGTAAAATGATACGAATGGTGCTGATGGCTTAATCGCTGGATTCCATTCGTTTTAGATGACGTTTTTACCTGATTTATGTACCAGGCAGGGAGCAGTTGCATTCTCTGGCCGATATATGAGGGTTATATGTAGGAGCATGGACACCTTCAGTTTGAGTTGGACCTCTAGAGGTAGGATCCCTCTAAGTGAAGTCCCTAAAGATGCATACCTTTCTGAAGCGATGAAAAGAGCCTCAGGCCTTGTCTGAACAATCAAAGGTATGCAAATCCACGTTGTCTCCTAGCCAAAACTATGATAACGGAGCAGATATGGAGCAAGAAAACGGTTGACTGATGTAGGCTTTCAATCTATATGTGTTTCAGCTGTTTGAGGAGCCTGTAAGACGATAAATCCTCCTGGTCAAGGTCCTCCTTGAGCTACTCGTTTCTGTTCCCGGATGTAACGTTCGTATAGGGATATCAGCAAGCCTCAAAACTGCATCTCTATGTGTCTTTATAAAGTAAACATGATAATCTTGTTGATATACCTTTGTTAACAGGGAAGAGCAGCTTTACTTCACACACAAGGAAGGCCACAGTGTGTTGCCCTTCCATGCGATCTTCTTGCTCTGTTTTCTACATTCCTCTTCTTCACAGTAAGATGTTCTGTTCAGCTATAGGCTCTGACTTGAGGCTCCCTCTTTTTTCTTCCTTCTGAGTTTTTGTTCTTCTTCTTTGTCTTACAATCCATGCTTTATGTTGTATGGTACACCCTCGCGTGTATTCAAATGAGTAGATAACGATCCCAGGAGCTGTTAGCTTGCAAAATTACTCCCGGAGAAAGTTGGCCTTGTTAAACACTGTGATGCTTTTACCAAACAGGCATAGTACTGAAAAAAACAGAAAACCCGTTCTCTCTAAACCGTTCCGTGAAGCGATGACCCGATCTAGATAGGATTCCAATTCCAGTGTTTCTGAGGTGAACTTTATCTTCGAGTCACCTGTCTGGCATCAGGGAGCAGCGTCACTATCCTGCCCAGGCCCAATTCTAATCGCTGGTCGGCCAAGGCAAAAGACCGATCATCTGATCTTGAGATGAACAGGTCACTTAAGATGGCAATTTTCACTGAGATCCCTTTCTTTCCATTCTAATTTGATTTCTAAATTCTTTGCAAAAATATGTTAAATTTATGTTTAAATTCTTCTAAAATCATTGTCAGGGGAATGACGACTGGGTGTTGCGTGAATGATTACGTGGGTAAATTCTCAGTTCAAGTGTGAAAAAATGTGATCAGCTGTTGTTGTTGTTGCATGGCTGAATCATCTCTTGTAATATAGAAGAAAGCCGAACGACGGGGGCGGAGCTGCGCAGGCGAGTGGGCAGCTCGGACTCATTGCCGCTGTGAGTCTGTTACACCGCCGCAAACGCCACCATGGATAACCACGAAGAGGTAAGCGACTATCGATTGATTCGCTCTATATCAATACTTTACCGTAACCCATTTATGGAAGGAATTTTTAGGCAAAAAAGTTACGCGATGAAGACTTTGAAGAGCTGATGGCTGCTTGTGATACGGCCAAAAAAGCCGTGAAGAAGGACAATGTAGGGAAGGTTTGAACTTTGTTAAACCACTTTTCATTCCTCATTTTTACCTTTTCAGCCCACTTCCAAGGAACCTGTGACCACGCTGGATGATGACCCGATTTCTCTGACGGAGGATATGCCTGTAAGGGTACCCACAGTCATGACTCCTATGAGATCACATTCCTTTGGAACTACTGACGAACCACATTCACCCACTCTCAAGCATAAATCTCAATCAACTTCGTTTCCTGAGAAAAGCGAGAGAAATCCTCGAACTTTGGACAAACTTGTGAGTTGGGCTTTTCGCTTTTCTCTGTTCTCTGTTTATTCTACCCTGTGATCCAAAGATATCCCATAGGTAAATAATGACATTCGATTTTCGCTGAAATCTTCAGTCGATGATTCACAGCTACGTTTACTCAGATCTAGCTGGCGGTGTGAATTGAATGGTTTTACCCATGACTCTTTATAATATGGCTACCGCACCATGGCTGGAAGTGCCGATCGTCTATAATAATTTGACAGAATGAAGGAGGAGTGTATCGCCAAGCCATTTTCGAAGTAGTAAATCTGGAAGGGCCTTTGTAAGGCGACATAGAGGTTTTCAACGGCTTTCATAGATATACAGTGCACCGCAAACTTCCGAAAATCGATGAAGTCAGA